TGTTTATGCTCGACTCCTAACAGATTGAGCTTAATAATCTCTTCTTCTGCGATTGAAATGTAAATATCAAGTTTACAATGGTTTAAACTTGAAAGGTAAGAGCCTGTTCAGCAAAAGTTAAAGTAGTAACTACAGTTCTGTTTTGTAACAGTTCGACTTGGTGAAATGGTTTCTTGAAAGGTCAACCATTTTATAATAAAATTTCTCTTTTTCAATCTGTACCACCTGTAAGCTCTACCAGAATCTTTCACCTATTCTACTCACTTTGTATTATTTGTATTAATATCACTATTATTGGCCATGGGATAGATGAGGAGACAAATTGGTAGAAGATTTACATTTTTTAGGAAATTATTTTACTAGATAAAATATTTTCACTTTGAGATTATTGAAAAAATGTTTATATTCACATGACAACCATCTTGTTGCCATGGCATTGAAACGGAAAGGTTGATACAAGTGATGTCAAACGGCCGTTCTGTTTCCAATTTCACAAAGGAAGGAAACGGTCATTTGTATGAGCGAACTGAACGGAACCATCGTATCCAAACAGGCCCTAATATTACCCCAGTGCTGATATATTTTGGTCTACGCATTTTGCGCATGTCTTGGCATGTTTGGTCACATGATTGTGCTTTTCTGAAAATCTTGATTTATATAATAGCTATAATGTACTTTCTTTCTAAAAATACATCTTCATTGCCTTCATTTGGAAGGCCGTGCGATATTATGAGACTGCATAAGTCAGCCATGTGATTGTTGTTGCTACCTGGGACTCAAGGTTGGAGAGTAGGAAGTCTCAATCCAGCATCTATTTCTTAACTAGTCAATAATTTTCTTGCCTATTAACACTCTAAAGGTGTTTACTGTATTTCTCTGTATTCAAACCTTCTTCACCCACGATGGTCCGCCTTCCTCTCTTCATTTCCAAGAGTTTGTGGTTGAAGGGGGGATACTATTGATCTCTAAGGTAAGAGTAATATTAGGTAATGATTGCCTAAGAGGGTTTTCATAGCACTTACGAAGACACCCAAAGGACAATTCTGACGGGGTGGTTGACTGCATTGCGAATGAACCAGTCAGTAAATAACTTCGAATCGGACAACGCGGGAGTAGATTTATCATCTCCACAAGAAAAATGTAGACTTAGATAGGGGTGTTTCTGTGCTCTTATTTGAAGCCATAAAAATGTGGTGGTGTTTGCGACTTTTCCAAAATTACTGTTTTGATTTCAAATGCACGGCAACAGCGTTGTCGAGTTTGGAGACGCGCTAGGAGCTCTTGGAACGCGTTCCCGGTCCCCTACCTTCTCATTACTTCACTTCCAGAGGAGGTAACCAAGCTCTGCTCCACACTCCCAGAACACTGTTTTTCGACTCCTCTCCCGCCATACGAATCTCACCATACAAATCTTCAACATTCGCGCTTTAGCTATGTCTGGCTTAAATCCGAAAAATTCCCCAAGACCAAACCAAAAGTCACCATTTACCGCAAAGAATTCTCAAAAGTCGGGATCTATTCAGAAACAACAATCTCTGCTCTCCTTTTTTACCAAAGCCGCAGAGTCCCCTATTCATACAAATCAAGAGCAGGATTGCCAACTACCAGATTTGCCTAGTGGTCTAGCCGGACCGTCATCACCTGCGGACCATGAGGGTACCCCTGCGAACAAACATGGAGGACGGCGAGGTTTGTCATCAATTGCTAATGTGCTTCGACTTACTAATTAGAGTCGGGTCTTGTCAGACATTCTCCAGGTCCCACATTCTAGCCCGTCTATCAGAGTAAGAAATGTTTTCCTACAATGAAATTGTACGGCTCTAATTACCTCATAGGCACTCTCAAAGCGTGTTAGTTACACCGAATTGAGTGATGAGGACGATGATGTGCCGATCCTCAAGCGTGGTGAGTGGGAACTTCAGCTTGGTGAGGTGCTTGAGACTCACATCTTCTAGGTGTCAAACGTACAATCCAGGATTATGACGGGGATGGCGACCTAGAATTCCTTCCGCAGAATAACCTTATTGAGGGTTCGGATCAGGGCTCGGATATTGGTAAGCTCTCCGCAATGCTGCACAAATAGACATCAGTGGCGTTGGTTAAAACTAATCTCCAATAGCTGCCATCGACTGTGATGATTTTGTCGTCCCGGATATCGCTCCAACTAGGACACCTCGTAAAACCAGGGATTCGAAGAAACGCAAGAAATCGAACAATGATTTCCATGGAACACCGTCGCCCACTGTAAAAACCCCAGCAAGTGCCTCACACTTCGTATTCAATCCCAAGAGCGATAGCACTACTCCGGTATTCTCAGCCACGACCCCTCGGCCAAAACCTCCTGCAGCGCCTGCGGGCAGGAAGGACAGGGATGAGGTCAGATACTTTTGGCTTGTTGATATTAAGGATGCTGATGGAAATCCGCGTATGTCTTTATTCCAGACACGTACCCTCTCCACTCCACTAATAAGTTTGCAGCCGATCACCCAGACTATGACCCCCGAACCTTATTTGTGCCGCCAAGCGCATGGCTGAAATTCTCTCCATTTGAGAAGCAATACTGGGAAATAAAAAGCAGGCTTTATGATACTGTTGTGTTCTTCAAGAAAGTAAGACTCTATTCCCTGCAGGGGAGGACTTGGCATATTGAACTTTTTTAGGGAAAATTCTATGAGCTTTACGAGGATGATGCCAGTACGTTCTACATATCCCTGGTGGAGTTTTAGTTTTAGATGACTAATAGAGGCAATAGCAATTGGCCATAGAGAGTTCGATCTGAAGTTGACTGATCGAGTGAATATGAGGTGAGATTTGTACATTATGTGGGTTGGACTGTTAGTGGCTAACCGAATCTTAGAATGGTTGGTGTACCAGAATCCTCGCTGGATATGTGGGCAGCTCAGTTCATCGCGAAAGGGTATGTGTTGGGCTTAATGCGACCGCTTGGTTCCTGTTTGGATTGACGGTCAACTAGATACAAAATTGCTCGCGTTGACCAGAAAGAAACTGCTCTGGGTAAAGAAATGCGGGAAAAGTGTGGTAAAGCAGGAAAAGAAGAAAAAATTATTCGCCGCGAACTTGCTTGTGTTTTAACGGGTGGAACACTTGTTGACGAGAGCATGCTGCAGGATGAGATGGCAACTTATTGTGTGGCAATAAAGGTTCAATTTTGAGTTATTCGCGTTCAGAGTTCCTACCACCACTGACTTCGGCGAATTGCCTATTAGGAGTCATTTCGTGAAAAGGAACCGTCGTTTGGCATAGCTTTTGTTGATACCGCCACCGGAGAATTCTCTCTCTCGGAGTTCGAAGATGACTTTGACCTGACTAAATTCGAAACATTTCTCGCTCAAATTCGTCCGAGGGAGCTGATTATTGAGAAAGTAGGTAGTATTTTTAAAGAAAGTTGCAGGTCTGAGATTTGGTCCGGCTGATAATATGCAGGGATTTCTATCTTCTCAATCGACACGCCTCCTGAAGAATAACACTTCCTTGAACACTATCTGGAACAAACTAAAGCCTGGGGTTGAATTCTGGGAAGGGTCAACAACCGTTCGGGAGTTGGTGAGTAAGGATTATTTTGGCGAGAGTGCATCGAAGGACAGAAAAGGCTGGCCGCAGGCTCTGGAAGAAGTGAAGGAAAAAGAGCTGGCAATGTCAGCCCTCGGCGCTTTACTCTGTTATCTACAAACGGTAATAATCATGTTTGCTGAATATTTGATTTTATGGGAGGTCTGACTTATCTAGCTTAAAATTGACCGTGAATTGGTGAGTTTGGGAAATTTCCGGGTATATGACCCGATCAAAAAAGCGTCGTCCTTGATTCTAGATGGGCAGACCCTATTGAACCTTGAGGTTAGAATCTTGAACCTGGCTGGTGGCATCCCACTGATTGTAGTAGATTTTTGCGAATTCCTCGGATGGTGGCCCAACTGGGACGCTATTTTCTCTACTTAATCGATGCATTACACCTTTCGGTAAGCTCACTGGTTCCCTTCGGCTGGTGGAAGTTAATGCAGTTGATAGGGAAGCGAATGTTCAAACTATGGGTGTGCCACCCTTTGGCTGATTCGGATAAGATTAACGCAAGATTGGATGCTGTCGAATCTCTCAACTCTAATAATGGATTTCAAGACGCTTTCGTAACTCATTTGAATAAAATGCCGGATTTGGAACGTCTCATCTCCCGCATCCATGCTGGTAGCTCTAGAGCGACTGATTTTCTCCGCGTTCTTGAGGGGTTTGAGCAAATACGTGATGCGATAGACGAGATCACACTTTACAGCGTAGGTGGTGGTTTGATTGGTCAGCTTCTTACTTCTATGCCTGATCTGAAAAGAAGCTTGAAGCAATGGGAAGCTGCGTTTGACCGGGAGAAGGCGAAGTCACAAGGTAGGAATCTAGATACGGGGTTTGCTTGCCAGCTAGTAGAAATGCTGACTACTTGATCTTTAGGTCTTCTCGTGCCTGAGCGTGGTGTTGAGCTTGATTTTGATACTTCCCAAGATGTTATCGAGGACATCATCAATGTTGAGTTAGAGTCGCTCCTTACTGAGTACAAATCGAGCTTGAAGTATACTACTTGTCATTGGCCTTTTACTGCTGGAAACTGACCTTTGTATAGGTCTAGAGATATCAAGTATACGGACAGTGGAAAAGAAATTTACTTGATTGAGGTGCCAGTGAAGTTTGCGAGAAATATTCCCAAAAGCTGGACTCAAATGTCTGGCACACAGGTAGTCAATGTTTCTTCTGGTCTATGCTTGACTGCTGCTAAATTTTTGTTAGAAAGTCAAGCGGTTCTACTCCCCGGAAGTCAAAAAGCTTGTTCGCTCGCTACAGGAAGCACAAGAAACTCATAGCCAAATTGTCAAGGAAGTTGCTGGGCGATTTTACGAAAGATTTGATAGAGACTATCAGACCTGGCTAGGCGCGGTGAAGATTGTTGCGAATTTGGATTGTCTTCTTAGCCTTGCTCGGTCTTCCACCTCGCTTGGTGAAACTAGTTGTAGGCCGACATTCGTTGAGGGTGAGAGAAGCGTGCTGGATTTTACCGAACTGCGACATCCTTGCATGGTGTCTAGGTGGGAGAGACCCATCAATCATTCAAATTGGCGAGGATCTGACAGAGTATACAGCGTGGATGATTTTATACCAAATGATATCCAACTTGGTGGAGATTCGCCTAAGTTAGGTTTACTTACTGGAGCTAATGCGGCCGGAAAGTCAACGGTGCTTCGGATGGTAAGCCTGGGTCGCCTGTTTCAATTCATTTGATTTTCCTGTATGCCTGAATGGATGAATAATTGCTAACTGATTGTCAAGACCTGCGTGGGTGTCATTATGGCTCAGATTGGATGCTTCGTCCCATCGAAGTCAGCTCGGCTGACACCTGTGGATCGCATAATGAGCCGACTAGGAGCTAACGACAACATCTTTGCTGCACAGAGTACATTTTTTGTTGAACTATCAGAGACAAAGAAGATCCTTGCGGAGGCCACACCCCATTCTTTGGTAATATTGGATGAGCTAGGCCGTGGGACATCTTCGTACGATGGCGTGGCTGTGGCACAATCCGTTCTACACCATGTTGCGACCCAAATTGGCTGTCTTGGATTCTTCGCAACACACTATCACTCATTGGCTAGTGAATTTATTGGGCATCCGGAAATTCAACCTAAGAGGATGCAAATCCATGTCGATGAAGAGAATCGGGACATCACGTTCCTCTACAAGTTGGAGGCAGGAGTTGCTGAGGGTTCATTTGGAATGGTTTGCTTACTCGTTGTTTATGTTCTGGGCTTTACTGACAGTTTAACAGCATTGCGCTGCCATGTGTGGTATCAACAAACGGATAATTGATAGAGCGGAGGATGCAGCTCGAAGCTTTGAACATACTTCGCGGCTTAAGGACAGTTTAGAGGCTGCGCGAGTGGGGACTTATATTCCATTGGGGATGCAGAGCGATTTGGCTTGGATTCTTCGGGGCGGATGTGACATCAGTGACAACGCTTTCGACACCATCGTTAAATGTATTAAGGCATTGTAATTATGTTAGGAGATCCTTAAAACGTTTCCGCGTGAGTGAATGAATAGTGGATATCTTAACTGTGATGCGAGTTTCGCTTCATTCAATAGCTTCCTTTAGAGATGTGCGTGATTTTAATGAGACCAATTACCACTTACCTAAAACGAGGATCAAGACTCTAATAAGCGTGCATGAGTTTTCTCAAGGCTTCACCGACATTTCCACCACAACCGCGTAAAGCGTCCGTTGCCTTAGCTTTTGTAACCTAGTAAACATTCGAGCGCATGATAAGCAGGAGAACCCTATATAACAACAACGCAAACTTAGTACCTCCATTTCCTCCATAATAAGTGTAACGCCGGCGGCATTGACCCGACTAGATGGGGGAGGGGCTGCTTTTTGGGTAGGAGCCTGTTGGACACTGAGGCCTTGCATGGCCTTTCCGAGAGCCTCGGCTGATTCTTGGGTGACCTGTTCCACGGGTGTATCACCTTCATTGTCCATTGCTTTCATAGCCTTCACGCATCGCTCGGCATTGGAGGGCGCCACACGATCTTGGGTAGTTTCTAGCTCAGTCATTTTGAAGCGGTATGTATTGGGTGAGCAATTCTGTTCGGCGCCGGCGGTGGTGTAAAATTGGCGCTGAGATTCGGAGCGGTGAGGTATGCGTGGGACGCTGGAGCCGATCGAAGATGGAGGTGATGTTGGGAATTTCCTGTTCTAGGTGTTCCTGATGAGTAAGTTTGGTACGAGACACCTGCCTTGTTTAAGGTGAAAGGATTCCGAATACAGGTATCATAGCCGCCGAACCGACAGCGCTGGAGTGGTAGGGGTACATCTACAAGTAGCGAGTCGCCCAACCAAGTCAGCTCACAACCTTTAGCAAACGTGAGCGAGAACAACGATTAGACTACACACACTAGCTATTCAAAATAATAGCGGGCCAAAGATCGAGAGAAGGCAAGTCGCATACGGTGGCAGGGTCTAGAAAAAAAAACATGGCAGGTCTATCGACAAACCCTTCATCAAGGAGAGCTGCGGAAGCTGCAACTGTGAGGACTGCTGGCGAGGTGCAAACAGCTTTGGATAATAGCAACCGTGGAATCCAGGCTGGCAGTGGGAATGCTTGGTCTCCATCGTGTAAGTAATTGGTCCTGGAAGGGTGAATTTTGGAAGCTGACCATTACCCTCCCGAGAAAGCCTGGAAATCCAAGCCGGTAAAGCAAAGTGTGAATTATGAGGACGAGAATACTGTCGAAAAGGCGCTTAAAAAGCTCGAGTCACTTCCCCCTCTTGTAACAGCAGCAGAGGTGAGCCGCCAATTCATAGGATATATCGGTAGCCGCCTACTAATTTGTTCTAGGTGTCCAAGCTTCGTGCCAGGTTGAAGGAGGTTGCACTGGGCAAGGCCTTCCTGTTACAGGGTGGTATGTGGGTGGCAGGTGCAGTGACTAGTGGGCTTTACTGAGGAGGATTATAGGTGATTGTGCTGAATTGTTCGACTACTGTACCGGGGTGCGATTCCCAGACGTCTGTGAGAGTAACCGCTGATATGGCGCAGGAAAAAATTAGCGCGAAAGTTAAGCTCTTGCTTCAGATGAGCATGGTTTTGCTATGGGGTTCGTCTCGATACCACTTCTCTTTGCTTATCTAAAGTATACCAGGTGGAAATATTCCTGTTGTCCGGATAGGTAGAATGGCTGGCCAATACGCCAAGTAGGATCCTGCAATCCTTTTCTTGCTTTCTCGCTCGCGCTCTTGTATTGATTATTTTAGGCCAAGATCTAGTGTTACTGAGATAGTCGGCGGGAAAGAGATACCCTCCTTCCGCGGCGACATTATCAACGGATTTGATATTTCGGAGAGAGCTCCTGACCCAGCTAGACTTGTGAGGTGAGCGTGGTCATTCAGATTTCGGGTTGAGAATATATGGGCTCATGAAACAGCGCATATTATCACTCAGCGACAACTCTCAATTTCTTACGTGGACAACTCTCATCTGGATTTGCTGACCTGCGCCATCCATTCGAATGGACCCTCAGCCACGTTCAAAATAGCGAGACAAAGGAGAAATACCAAGGCATCGTGAATTCGATTACCGATACAATTCGCTTCATGCGCACCATTGGTGCTGATACTGCCTCAAGTCTTGGGACTGTAGAGCTTTACACCTCTCATGAGGGCCTTTTACTGGAGTATGAGCAAGGTTTAACTAGGTTGTTGCGCGACCCCATGGATGGGAATAAGCCTAAATGGTATGCTACTTCTGCGCACTTCATCTGGATTGGTGACCGGACCAGGCAATTAGATTGCGCCCATGTCGAGTATTTCCGTGGGATTGAGAATCCGATCGGAATTAAAGTTGGCCCGACAATGGTAGGGGAGGATTTAGCGAAATTGCTGGATATTGTGAATCCGGATAAGGAGGTTGGAAAGGTAACCCTGATTACAAGATACGGTGCCGATAAAGTGAGTGAACTTTTGCCTGGCCATATTGATGCCGTCGTTAAATCCGGACATACCGTTATTTGGTAAGTTATCGCTGCTTATAGAGAGAAGGCTTATGAAGACTGACTTTGGGTAGGCAAGGTAAGCAGACCAATTCCTCCAGCTTTTGTAGCTGATACTAATACGACATGCCAAACGGATTTCAGCGGATCCTATGCATGGGTAAGCACCCACTTCCTATCATTTTTAAACACGTGCAACCCCTTAGCATCCTATATACCACAGGGCTGTTCGGTGACTCACGGTAGGGTGATCGCACAGCAACACTAGATCTTCCCCGACTGGAGTCAAAACGCGCCAATTCGAGAATATCATGAGAGAACTCTCGTGTACTCACCACATCCATGAAAAGAGCGGAACCTATTTGGGTGGTGTCCATCTGGAATTGACTGCAGTAAGCTGGTGCTGGGATCCTGAATTGGCTCAAGAACTAACTTTGTGGCTCACAGGACGCCGTTACCGAATGTGTTGGCGGGTCGGAGAATCTCACGGATGATGATCTGTTGCTTAACTACACGACCTATTGTGACCCCAGGTTAAACAATAAGCAGGCCCTAGAGGCAGCTTTTATGATTGCAGGCTGGTATCGCGAGAGGTCTTGAAAGGTGGTTTCTAGTAGTTATGTAGGTTCTAGGGTGATAGCATAACATATTGGGTGAGAGGTGATTGTGTTATCGCCGTGCAGCAGAGACATAAGTTTAACCAGGCATGACATATGATTGACATGGTTAACAAAATTAATCTCGCATCAAGGAACACGATAAACTTTCATTGTCAGCCTCGCTCCCCCTACGGACTTCAACGTTGTAATATATATAAAAGAGGGAGGGGGGGAGGAATTGTAAGTGTCATATCATCCATACCATAATAGAAATTAATATTTAGTATGCCATTCAGTTTCTAATTTTATTTTATTTTATTTTATTTTATTTTATTTTATTTTATTTTATTTTATTTTATTTTATTTTATTTTATTTTATTTATGTAAAAGTGTGCAGTTCGGAGAAAATGATAGGAATACCGGGATCCGATACATAGGAACACCGGGATCTGATACATGGGAACCATTCCAAGGTAGGGTAACCCTGCTCGGAATTGGAATCTCTGGTCTCCCACATACCCCTCCAGCCCTCTTATAGGGCCCACACATCATTATATGTACTTATCTTAATTGCATCCTGTGACTATAAGGCTGCAAAGTTTTAGGTGTAAGAATAATACCATATACGTTGCTGTCCCCCCTCCCCTCGGATCTGGTTCATAGGATATGTGAGAGGGAACCTTTGACT